GCTGCTCCTCTCCTTCTCCTCTCTCTGGCCGGACTGTTCTGGAAGGCCTTATTCCTTTTGATCTCCTTTCTTTCTTTCTTCCATACCTCCCTCCATACCTCCTTTTCTTTCACAACCCTTTCCATACCCTTCTTCACTTACTCATACCTTCTTACACTTCCATTTCTTACTTCATACCCTTCCTTTTTCTTCTTCCACACTCTTTATTCTTCACTCATCTCACAAAAACAATACTCTCCCATTCATCTTATATAATTCATACTACTTCCTATCTGTCAGTATTTTTCTATCTTCCCTTTGCTCTGTGGCTTTCTTTACCTCCTAATTCCTATCTATTATGGGCTTCATCTTTTATCTTTCCCTCATGGAGTACTTCCCCTAATCCCATTCCTTTCCCCTCTATTATTACTCCTTCATCATCTTATTTTACACCACTATATTGCTTAACTTTACCTCTCTCTGCATTATATTAATATTTTATTATGTTAAATTTATTGTTGCTATTTCCCCCATTTATCTTCAACAATTCCTTAACCACTATCTAATCATTGTTAAATCTTCTCAAGGAATTATATTTTACCAAACAGATTAATCTGTCCATCTCTACTGTTTTGTATAATTTTAACAACCAATCCTCGCTTGTGGGGATTCTCCTGTTTTCCATTTTTTATGCAAATGTCATCCTAGCTGTGGTTTTCATATAAAAAATACCTTTCCAAATTTCTTTTCTAAACTGTCCTCCATTATGCCTAATAAAAATAATTCTGATTTTAATTGCAGTTTAATACTAAAAATGTTTTCTATAAGTACTTTTATACCTTTGCAGTATTTTTTAGCTTGTGGACATACCCACCAACAGTGATAAAAATTCCCCTTCTCTTTTCCACATTTCCAGCACCTGTTTTCTTTTAGTTTGTAAATTTTATCTAGTTTGTCCTGGGACAAGTACCATTGATAAAACATTTTGTAATAATTTTTTCCCTTAGGTTCTGTGAAATCCTATACATAATCCCTCTCAACCAAGTATTTTCCCATTGTTCCAACTGAATTGGGTGGCCTATACTCCTTGCCCATTTTAACATTTGCTCCTTAATAATTTCCTCCTCCATCTCAATTTTTAACAATGCTTTATAAATTAAACCTATCATTTTCTTTTGGGCTCCTATAATTACTTTCCCCAGTTCACTGTTTTTACCCTCTTCTTCAAAACCTCAGTATTTCCCATCCATTTTAAACCTTTTGTATAGCTGCCTGTAAGTGAACCAATTATTAATCAATCCCTTATGTTGTAAAACCTCCTGGCCTTTCATGGATCTTCTCCCATCCTGAATCTGTATAACATCTTGGTACCTACACCATTCCTCTGTTATTTTCATCTGTTTTCTGTAAAAAGCCTCTTGTGGGGAAATCCACATTGGTAATTTCTCTACTATTCTTCTTTTATACTTTTTCCAAACCTGAATAAGCAATCTTCTCAGGTAATGATTATGAATAAGTTTATTTTGTTTCTCTTTGGGGGATGCAGACGGGCGGCCATAAGCTGCCCTGAGAAGTGGTGGATTGGGGCCGAGTCTTCCCCATGCCTCAGCGCCAATCCACTCTTCTGCCGGCCCTGGAAGGAGCAGAAAGGGCGCTGTAAGAGGCAGTGTGCACCTCTTCCGTGTCTCTTCCGCCGCAGCGTGTCTGGACGCTGTGACAGAAGGATGTCATTGGAGCGCTCGCCGTGTGCAACGGTGGGACCCTGGCTAGGGAGGAGTGGTTCCCATGTAAACTGTGTATTGTTCTGTTGTTGATGGCAGGGCCTCCCACCCTGAGGACCTGCCATCAACAACAGAACAATACACAGTTTACATGGGAATCACTCCTCCCTATCCTGAGTCCCACTGCATATATATACCCACTCTCTTCCATTCCAGTATTCTCTGAAGATGCCAGCCACAGATGCTGGTGAAACGTCAGAAAGAAACTCTTCTAGAACATTGACTCACAGCCCGAAAAACCCACAAAAAATATGGCTGCCAGCCATTAAAGCCTTCGACTTCACAT